AGCTGTGAATAAACACCCTAACCATTTACTGCCGAAGGTGAAATGAGTTAGGTGATCGTTCAACTATAGAATCATGTAGTTTTCACGTTCTCAGTTTATCAATCTACGTGACACACATCATATGTCAAATGAAGCAAAGGAAAGGATCGTGAGTAGTGGTGAAAACTTTATTCAATAATTTCGTCATCACACGCTATATTTACGAGTTCACAATAATTGTGCATTGAAGGTCAAAATAGATCATCTTAGTGAATTAAACAATGTTGCACACAACTTCCGAAGTAGTAGCCAAACATTCTAAGCATCATGTTGATTAGCAAAATGAAAATTCAATAAGTCTTCTTAACGCCGAAACCACATGTCAAAAGTAACGTTGGCATCAGAATCATAATGAAACTCAGCAATTTTATTTGCGATGCCGTCTATTGATGATACTGTAGTTGCACTAGATGTGCTCGGCTGTAAGGGTTGCGAAATCTTTATATCTGTCAACGTCTGCATCAGTTTCAGCTGCTGCTCAAGTAATAATTCAATTCTGGAAGGATCTACTTCTCTTAAACGACCGTTGCCAATTTTGCTAGGTTTGAAGCTATCACGAGTTCACTTAGAATGCGAACGTAACAAAGACTTGTGACCTAAGACCCTTAATGTAGATATTCTGGTGAGTCTCAGACCTGCTAACTAGAGAGAGAAGTTGAAGTTTGGAACTGAGAAGTATATTCCGTAAAGCCAGAAGCACGAACTATAACAACAGACACTAATCAAACCTATATACAGCATGGAACTGTCCTTGGGAAGCGTTGCAAAATAGCACACTAAAATATACAACGAACCAAAAGAATTAAAGATTCTCCCAAGTGTGAAGTACGACATGAGGATGAAAAGAATGCTTTTGGCCCAGGAATAAGGAAATAGCATTGTCCAGCAGGATCAGATTATGCTCGATGGACAGTCATTGTTTGGTTTGACCACAAAAACTGCTTCTTTCTCAGAAAAAATATACTTTTAATTAAGTTATAGCGATAGTGTAAAATAACTGACATTGTCATTTAAAAACATCATTCTGTTGACCTCAATTGTTTGTAAGAATAACAGTGATTATACTTTCTTGTTGTCTATCACCTCATTATTTCTAATAAATCAGATAATATGGTGGTATTCTCTATTTTGTAGTGGGCGTGAAATGAATCTTAATTAGAATAAGGAATACCGCATTCTAATAATGTGTGTAGGTAACTAATTTTCATCTACTCACACAGAATGGTGATCAAAGAAATTCTCATTTTACAAATACATTACTACTTTGATGAAAATCAACAAAGTATATTTTAGTGGGCGCATTGAAGTACAAATAATCCAGTCACTTATTCAAAGTATTGGCAGTCAAAAACAAAAACGTTTTCAACAATAGAGGTCAGAAATGTCAATCAACGCTTAATGAATATCAGTCCATTACATGGCAACCTACAAGAATGTTGGATAACAATGAGTTCATCTACCACATTAATTGGTTAGCAATGAGCAAATAATTTTGTAAAACTAGATTTTTCTAATGGTCACTTTCAATCATCAAATCAGAAACAAACAACAATACAACTGAAAAATCTATATAAAGCTGATACGTTCTGTTAAAATGTGATTACTGTTTTGAACAGGAAAATGAGGTGAGTGTTGACTGAACAAACGAATTAAATGATTGTATAATATGAATTTCATTTTGATTCAATAACATCACGTTATTCTGCTCATAATAACTATTTTAGATATATCCCTACATGTGATCTGTTAATATCGGTTTATTTGATCGTCACATTGCTTTTCGATATCTACAATTGTCAAGACATCTGTCAACAACCTGAATTAGAGAAATATGAAGAAGTAATTATCGTTAACGATTCATACAAATATGTAAGTATTCATCATTCATATTTTAACACACAAACACAGTCTCATTATTTCAATTACTCACAAAGAATACGTCTGAAACAGCCCAATCCAGTTGTTAATGCCACGTTTGAAACATTTAATACCACTCAGGTGAGTTGATTACCTTTTGTAATCAAAGTACTTAATCTTATATTTTTCCATCTTTTAAGGTATTTGAGCAGAAATTCCCGTTTAAATTTTACGAAAGTCGAGTTTCTGTTTTTTTGATCGATACAACTGGTAAGCGAACCTTTTTCTTTCAACTAAAATTGGTAATGGGTTTTGGTAATCACAGTTTGTTCCATGAATGTGTGTTGCATTTTCATATTCAAGTTCTGAAACATTTGTCGTTTTAGAGTAAACTAATTAAAGTTCATGCAATTCATCTTTGTCCCCAATTCATTTCAAGTTATTTCATTCACACACAACAGAATTTTGATCAAATTGTATGTTTTCATTATATAAATACAGGTTTAATAAGTATATTAGATCCACAATTCGGAATTATAAATAATATTATGCCAGGCACTTTTCTTCCTGAATATGAGGTTCTACGTAACGGTGAGTTCTATTATTCAGTAAGATTTTCGGTTGTTTTTCACACATAGACTTTGCATAAACGAATCATTAATTTCCTTGTTTACTGTACGAAAACTGACCAATACACAGTGATTATTTTGATTGTGTAATTGGAAATTAGAGCAAGTGTTCAAAGCACCTAATGGTGACTTTCAATTAAAAGTCTTACATAAAACAGGGATTCACTTCAAAGTACAATCAAATTGATTCATTAGAAATGATAAATTAAACGATATACTCGCCTAAGTGCAAAGTAGCTATTCTCCAGTCTATGGAAATTAAAATGCAGAACGTATGTCACAGGAACGATACTTCTCTGCAGAACAAAGAAATCTAATTTATTACACGTAAAACTATAAGTGAAGTTGTTCAAGAAGCCGAGTTGAATTAATACGCTTAGCAACTGTCAAGTTATATTTGACTTGATTCAACGCTTTTCTGGCACTTACTTGATTCATATAAGTTCAATGTCTCCAATTCGCTGTTTGAGGACCATCATATATTTGATACTTTCTAGATTATCATATTGATGAGATAATAGTATTTGATTTCACGCCCTTCAGAAACCATCAATCAACGAACGACGATGAATAGATTGATAGTACAAGATGATTTATTCGAAACAGAACAACCTAACCATCAAGATCAGGTTCATTGATTTCAGTCAGTTATCGGAATTAGGCATATTGTAGTAACATTTATGTGTAACAATAAGCTCAGTTGAAAGATATCTCTGTTTCACTGGAATAACAGAATCTCCGAAAATGATTTAGTATGGGTTTTGTCAAATGGATATTAAAGGAGGTTTAGTCAGTCGAAAGCTCTTATAATCAACTGTACAGCAGTAAAATTGTATTCTCAGTTGACTGGATTGAAACGTTCATTATGTTTTTGAAATAAAAATATTAATAAACTGTGAAGCTTCTCCATGAAGGATAATCGTTCATTCAAATGTGCCGGTTTACTTTAATCTCGGAAGGTAGATGATAGCTCGTGTGCGAATGCGTTCTACGTTAGAATGTACCTTTATGAAAGCAGAATTATAGTCACTAATATATATTTAAAACCTCCCTTTGATTTTCACTTTTTTAGATGAATCGATTGCCGTGAAATGGTACTTTCGAACACATGTTGATGATACATGTAAGCGAACGTTGAATGATCATTTTATAAAGTGTAACATCTTACCATTCATTGTGATTACTCACAATTTTCCTGTTCAGTTTGAGCAATTTCTTTTTTCACAGTGACTGGCAAATGTGTGAATATGTAGCACCTCTGGAAAGTGGAGACGGAATTACATGTGTGGTCCACCGATCGTTTAAACACTTTTATTTGAACTTGAATAATAGTTGACATAAACTGAAATGGACGGACTTGGCGATTAGTTAAAGGATGAATAAAGTTACAATGTCACTTCACTTGCGTAAAACACAAATGCACAGATTAATCATCGCTGATAAGCTTCAATGGAACTTGATGTGAATTCTGTTTAAGTAAACAGCACGCTTCACATCTTCACTAATCACATGGTTATCAAATCAGGACATGCATAAGACGCGATATATGATGCTATTCAGTTCACATGTTTAACAAATAAATCTGCGTCTTTTATAAGCACTATGGTCAGTGTCGGTCAATCGATTGCTTTATCAATGTGTTTCTCAAGTTCCATTTGTAAGCGAAAACCCACAACACATGTCATGTAATTTAAGACTGGATTGTTTTGGGTGTGATTAAAGAAAACATCGCGCAAACATAACATCACGTCGGGTTTGGAAGACTAAGCACCTGAAAGTAACACTTATGGACTCATGTTCGTTTCATCTACACAATGTCAATTCCATAATGTTTGTTTTGAATTCAACAAAAAAAATATTTCAGATAACACAATAGATAATCACTTAATCTGATCTTTTGTGGGTAAACATTTACACTGTCACGTCTAACAATAACATGCTCATCATTTCTAATTTAGAATTCACACAACCATTGACTTTTGTTTGCAGATCTTACAAGCAAGGTCACTAATTTAATACATCGGAATGGGAAGATATCTATCTATTATGAGAACGTAAGTTGAACAATCGAATGGAAATAAACTTTTGTTTCACGTACTACAGATTATGCTACTTTCTCCTGCATAGCAATACGCTTGAATATATTAAGATACATTTAACACGGTTGAAAGAGATCAACGTTTTGAAATGTGCAAACAGAGTGAATGACACTTTTATAGTTTCTTAAATGACACACACTTTATTCACCTACATCCTAAGAAAGTGAATAATTAGAAGTGAATTACCATCAAACTAAACGATGATGTCTTTGAGGCAAATAAGGAACCGTACGGAAACAGTCAATTTCTGTCAAACTCTGTTACGTCTTCTGAATATAAGATGTTCGGAAATTACACTGTTGAATATTATTAATGCCTTTTTGTTTAAACTGTTGATTAGTTCATAGCATTTGATATTTCCAAAATTTCTTATCAGATTCCTACGGAAATCAAGTACAGGCAGCTGCACACAAAGATTCAAAGTGCAATGATTTGTGAACTTGAAAAGGGATGTAAGGATTTTTGCTGGTATTTTGATGTACATTATTCTTTGTCAACACTGTTCAGTTTATGTTGTTTTAGTTCGCATTTATACTCAGTTATGAACATGTCAACACCGTGACGTTTTTGTTTCCTCTCAAAATGATCCGAAAGTAAGACAAATTGATCGAAGTGCTACTGAAATGTTAGACTTGGCCATACAAATCGAGATCGGAATGCTTTTCGTAAACGCTCTGTCCATACATTACTGTATACTGAATATCCAATGTCAATTATATGTTTACACTTCTGGAACGGACATTTTGTTGTTATAGTTGATAAAGAATCATGGTGAAAATTGATCATGAAAATGTCGAACAATATTTCAATGCATTTGACTGTATTGAGATCAAATTACCTTTGTCTTCAACCCAACAACCGTCATATATGTTACCGTTGTGAAATCGTTTATCAAATTACTACATATGCTCTCGTGTATTCACTCACTCACTCACTCACCCACTAAACGACGAGCGTGTAACGAGTTAAACACATGTTTTGAAGATGTTGCGCTGATACTATTGCAAACTAAATCAGAAATTTAACGACAAAATTTTTCAATTGCTGGTTGAACACCAGTCATATTTGAAACCAGTATTTGTGTAAAGTATATTTTGTCAGGATGCTGCTCCAGCGTATCTGTATCCGTAATCAGAAAAATTCATTTTTTTCATTTGTCTTTCATGAAATCCTGTAGACGAATAGTTGTTAATTTAAAGGTTATTCAAATGTGTTTTTTTTATACAATTAGATGTAAATTTAAGATCACCTGAAATAAGTGTTTCCAGTATATGGATCAAAAGTGACACGCTAGTGGAGTTTGAACCAATCGAGAGTATGTTAAACCTTGTTTATTCATCACTTACTATTTTTAAACTTGAATAGATGACATCGTTTTCATCGAATTACAAATGCCATGTGTCATTTTAATTGGCTATTTGATGATATCCTTTCATGTTTCTCAGTGACGTTACACTTACCATTAATAATTACACATCGATTTACTGTTGAATGTTGAAGATAACTAAGGAACCATTTCGAACTACTACAGGTGTATTCACTTCAATGAAATGTACTGTGAAACGTCGCCACAAGACCATGGATGGGATGATATAGGTCTCGAAAATCTTTATGATCAGCTTGTAGATTGCGTGTTGACGAGAATGTATTCATTGTTTTTGTAATATCAAATTTCTCTGAGATATTGAAATCGCGAATGCAATCCACGTAAATGTGACTACCTTAAAAGTTGTAGTATAATTTCTAATATCTTTGCTGTTTCATACTTGTTCGTTAAGCCGAAGGTGAAGACAGGTCACGCGTACAAATCGCATTTCATTGTAGTCAACATACATGTAAACTAAGTTTCTTACTTACTTACGCCTGTTACTCCCAATGGAGCATAGGCCACCGACCAGCATTCTCCAACCCACTCAGTCCTGGGCCTTCTTTTCTAATTCCATCCAATTCTTGTTCATCTTCTTCATGTCTATTTCCACTTCCCGGCGTTATGTGTTCTTTGGTTTCCCTTTTTTCCTTTGGCCTTGAGGATTCCATGTGAGGGCTTGTCTTATGGCGCAGTTGGGTGCTTTCCTCAATGTGTGTCCCATCCACTTCCAGCGCATCTTCGTGATTCCTTCCTCCGCTGGGATCTGGTTTGTTCTTTCTCACAGTTGGTTGTTGCTAATAGTGTCCAGCCAACGGATCCGAAGTATTTTGCGTAGAAAACTGCTAATAAACACCTGTATCTTCTGGATGATGGCTTTCGTAGTTCTTCAGGTTTCCGCTCATACAGTACAACTGTCTTGATATTTGTATTGAAAATCCTGACCTTGGTGTTGGTTGACAGTTGTTTTGAGTTCCAGATGTTCTTCAATTGTAAATATGCTGCTCTTGCTTTACCGCGCCTTCACATCTGCATCAGATCCACCTTGTTCCTCGATGTTGCTGCCCAGATATGCAAAGGTTTTTACATCTTCCAAATCTTCTCCGTCAATTGTGACTGGATTGGTGCATGCTGAATTTTATTGGAGAATCTTGATTTTCGCCTTGTGTATATTGAGACCTACTGCTGCTGAGGCTGCTGCTATTTGTTGTTGCGATTGCGATAAGAGGGCTAGATCATCAGCTGCATCCTAGATGTCTATTGTATCCCACGTTTCCCTTCACGTGTTGACGTCTTCATGGTCCAGTCGATCACCAGGAGAACGAGAAAGTGCGAGAGTAAGCAACCTTGCCTGACACCGGTCTTTACTTCGAACGAGTCTGTCAATTGTCCACCATGCACAATTTCGCAGTTTAATCAATCATAGGAATTCCGTATGATATTAACTACATTCTAAGCCACGCCGTAGTATCAAAGAAGCTTCCATAGTGTTGTTCTGTCCACGCTATCAAATGCTTTGTCGTAGTCAATGAAGTTGATGTAGAGTGATGAATTTCATCCAATTGATTGTTCCACAATGACCAGTATTGTTGCGATTTGATCTCTACACGATCTATCCTTACGGAATCTTGTCTGTTGTTCTCGAATTTGGCGTCTACGGATTCCTTCATTCTGTTTAACGATACCCTGTTGAAGACCTTTCCCTGTATTGAAAGAAGAGTGATGCACCGGTAGTTAACACAATTGCTGAGATCACCTTCCTTTGGTATTTTGACCAGAAGTCCTTCTTTCCAGTCTGTTGGTACTTGTTTCTCATCCCAAATCTTATTGAAGAGAATGTGGAATATCCTTGCAGTTGCCGTCACGTCTGCTTTCAGTGCGTCTGCTGGAATGTTGTCTGGCCCTGCTGCTTTGCCACTCTCGATTTTTCGGATGACAATGCTGATTTCTTCTATTGTTTGTGAGTCGACATTGATTGGGAGGACCGTCGGTGCCGCTTCGATATTGGGTGAGTTCAGTGGGGCTGGTCGATTCAAGAGTTCTTTGAAGTTTTCTACCCACCTGTTTCGTTGTTCTTTAATGTTATTGTGTTACGTCCAAGTTTTGCTCGTTCTAGTTATTGAAGTACGGATTATCGATCTACTTGCAAATTACGAACCCAAATTGACAATAGAACCGAAACTCCGATTCAGATACCAAATTTATTCGTAATTCACAAATAGTCGACCAAATGTCGTTCTAACAACAATAACTATAAGAATTACAAAACAGACCTTCAATTTTGTAGGTTCTCGGAGCAAAACTACCAAATACCAAACCAACGACAAAGGGAAACCAAAATGTCCGAAATAATGATATAAACTAACAAGTTCAAAAGTTAAGTAAAGCAAATACATCCAAAAACACAGTAAATTATTACTATACGATTGAAAGGTTTTAATCCGCCAAATGTCTTTAGTTCTCCTGTAACAGGTGATTACTTCGCCTTCCTTGCTTTTCACTGGTCGCTCCGGTTTACGGTGATTTCGGGAGAGTTTCTTTGTCGTGTCATACAGTTGTATCATGTTTCCTTCTCTTGTAGCCTATTCCGCCGTCATTGCTAAGTCTTTCACATATTTACGTTTGTCAGTTCTGATACTACTCTTCACTTGCTTGTTTACTTCTGTGTATTCAGCTTGTACCTTGTCTTTTTCTGCTCTTGTTCGGCTGGTATTGATTGCTGCTTTCTTGTTCCTCCTTTCTTGAATCTTATCCAGTGTGCCAGCAGTGATCCATTCCTTGTGATAGTGCTTCTTGTGGCCCAGAACCTCATGGCATGTTGATGTGATTGCTTCTATGACCCCCTTCAAGTTGCTCTCCATAGTAATTCCTTCTCCACTGATTAGATCATGAAAGGCCTAAAACTTATTGCTGAGGATTATCTTGAATTTGTTGAGTTTGTCATTATCTTGAAGAAAGGTCGTATTAAAATTTTGTGATATTGTCCGCTCTATTGTCCAGTACTTCTTGAGTTTCAATTTCATCTTGGCGATCAGCAACTGATGATCTGATGCTATATCAGCTCCTCTCTTGGTTCTCACGTCTTGTATCGTCGTCCTGAACTTTTTGTTGATGCGGATATGGACGATTCGGTTTTGCGTGATCTGATCCGGTGAAGTTCATGGGATTTTTTGAATGCGCTTATGTGGTAATATAGTGCCGCCTATGGCCAGTTTATTAAAGGCACATATGTTTGCAAATCTCTCATCATCCTCTTTCCTTTTTTCCAGTCCATGTCGTCCGATGATATCTTTATGTCCGGTGTTGTCCATTCCAACCTTGGCATTTAAATCTCCTATTAGAATGGCAAAGTTTTTTGTTGGGCACTTCTTGATGATTGAGTGCAGCGTATCATAGAATTGAATTTTAACATTTTCATTGTGGTCGTTGGTAGGCGCATAGCGTTGGATGACGTTCATTGCAATGCCCTCATTCTTTGTTTTGAAGGAGGCTTTGGTGATCCTTGGTTCATGAGATTCCCATCCTATAAGTGCATCTTGTGCTTGTTTCGACAGCATCAATGCAACTTCTTGTGTATGTGAGGCATTTTCTTCTTTATGGCCGGAGTATAACAAAAGCTCCACTGAAGCTAGTCGTTGTTATCCAACTTGCGCCCAATGTGATTCACAGATCTCTAGCACTTTCAGGTTGTATCTCCTCATTTCTGAAGCGATTTGGAAGGCTGTCCCAGTGTCCCACATTGTACGAGTATTCCATGTACCTAAATCAATGGTTGCTCTGGTTGTTAGAAGAGGCATCGTTCTCGCGACTTCCGAAGGAACTTGGCTTTCATCATGTGGCGTCATAGTTATTCAAAATGAAGACTTTCTGACTCCCAGGGCAGATTTTAAAAGGTTTGAATAAATTTTTCTGGTTAGCGTTTTTTAGCGAGTTAGTTTTCTACGGGATAAGGTCGCTAACCCTATGCTCAACCCTCCTCCTTTATCCGAGCTTGAGACAGGCAGTAGCCCCAGGAGGTACTCAAAGCGGCTTTGAAACAATGAGTATGTTCCTTTCCTTCTGAATTTCTACAATCAGTGGCTACAAACACTTCTCAGTTCATCATTTGTTAGACTATTTGCAGCGTTTAGAATACTGAGAGAATCATTCCACGATCTATTGTTCAGGTCACCTTCAGCGTTTATCGAATAAAATGTCACAAATCGTCAATATATTTTCATTAATCGAACATGTCTGACACTAAACATGTGTGACGAGAGTGTCCTAGTGAAAGTAGAAGCAGACGCTTTACTCAGAAAGCACCATATTGGGACGGAGTTTAGGTTACACATTTTGTTATTCACTTATTTCTTGTTTGATAATTTGAAATGCAGTCACCCTTTTTTTCCGTAGGGAATTGTTCAATTCACAATTCGACTGGGGAATGCCAAAATGCGACAACATCAAATATGAGATGTATTTGGTGTGAAAGAGCTAATATGTGCATTAATAGCAATGATAAGGATACTCATGAATTGAAAGTGGACGATTGCCTCATTAAAGTAAGTAATTGTTAAACTTCATAGGTTGCCCTAAATGTTGCTATATTTCACATTGCAATTCCTCTAACTCAAAAGATCATTTTGTTACTTCAAATACTTACTGATTCGTTTATGAATCAAAACGTTGTTTAGCATTAATGCTTGGAGTCATATTAATTTATCAACCAGGTGATTTCAGAAATCAAATATGACACGGTATATCTATGTTGTGATCAAAACTGAAAATAACGTAAAACGAATGATGAATTATTTGAATAACACACTATGTTGAGTAATGAAGTTACTGTTTTGCTTTTCTTCAGAACACGATCGTAAACACACACGTGTCCGAACACAATAAACACAATAACACACTTTATTACCTGTATATTGTGATACCGATTGTCGTCTCATTCTGCGTTGTGTGCG